AATGGTATTCTATAATTAGTATATGGAGGTTAGGACAACTTCTCCTCAATATCCTTTTGGGGAATTGATCTTAGAAGGGAAGGGTCCTCATAAATTCGAGTAGGTGTCAATGTTTTCTTTTGTCACCTCATTCTGCTATGAGATGTTATGGTAGGAGGATATCTGAATAATACTCTTTTTTATTGAAAAAATAAGTTATGATTTGATTAAAATAATATCAAGCTTATTTTCTTAGTCGTAACACCAAATTGATTTTATATCATAGCAATAAATATTTGAAGAATATGAGTGATATTAAATTTATGTTTTATAAGATATACCTTTGTATTCAAGTGCAATCATCAATCAATGTGATAAATCTAGATTTAGAAATGTTAGGGAATTTTTAAGGTCCCTTAATATTAGAGTCAATTAACATTAAATGAGTTCATTTGGATATGTTATTTAGTAATTGAACAATACTCATAATTGAAAATTTCATTGTTAAAATTTACAAAAAGAGAAGGAAACATTCAGGGTCATTGTTAAAGGAAAAAAGATTCCATTGCTGAAAACAGCATTGCTGAAGTACCATGAAAAAGTATATGGTGGAAGCTCTTATAGAGGTAACAAAGGGAGACCATGCCACCGGGATGAGTTTGTTCGCTGTAGCATATGCAACAAGGAGAGAAGATTTCGTCGGCAAACCAAAGTGGACTGCAGAACTTACCATGATGCTGTGCTCGATGCCAAATGGAAATGCTCTGATCTGCCTTCTGATGATTGTGATGATGAGGAAGAGCGCGCAAGTCGTCGCTCCATCAGAGGATGCTCGCGCACTGCTTTGTGCAAAGGTTGCACTCTCTGCGTCTGCTTTGGTTGTGAGATCTGTCGCTTCCCAGATTGCGCTTGTCAGACTTGCATTGATTTTGTTAACAACTCACCAAAGTGACTGAAACACTTCTTTCAGTGAGAGCCTTTTGTTATCAACATTCAGAAAATTATCATCAATGTCTGTTAATCTGCTCAGTATAGACACTTAAATTTTGTTCGGAATAGTTTTTTTTTTACTGTTTTTAAAGCAGATTTTTAATATAAAAATTTATTGAATTAGAAAATTTTATATTAGAAAATTGTTTTAGAAAACAGTAAGAAAGCCGCAATCGATATCAAGTGAAAAGAGAGATTTT